TCTTAATAAGATAGCTCGTGCTATAATATTCATTTGTCGATTATTTTCATATCCGTCTAGTGATGGATATGATTCGGTAGTTCCACCTGAGGAATTTGGTCTTCTGGAAAATGGAGTAAATCTATATATACTAATAAGCTCAGATATTTTATCATAGTTGTTTTCTAGAATAATCTTTGCATTAGTCACATTTTGAGGTCCTCCGGATAGGAAATAGAACAATTCTATATCATTTTCCCTAATCTTTAGATTTCTTTACCATAAAGCTCATGAACTTTCATTAATATGCAATTAAGAACATTAAAATCTATATCCTCAGCCCAGGAACTTTTAGTTTTTCTCACTAGAGAAATGTTATAATCTAATATTTAATTTCTTATCTTCATGTTGACAAGATCACAATCTACCTGTCTGAATACTAACATTAGACGCTGGACAAAATACCATGATAGAAGAATATTTAAAGAAAACAAAGCTTTAAGTTGATCATATGTTAAAAACTTTGGACCCTTCTTTACTGTGTTAAATAATGCATGTGACCTCCCATGGTGGAAGATCAGCCATTTTGTGCAAGTGGTATGATCACAACTTATATTATACCATATTTGTGACGCACATATAATAGATAATGGGTTATGAATCATAATAAAAATACGTTGTTCTGTCTCAGGTTTTAATCGATCCATGTTTACACGGTTTTATGAAAGATAAAATATTCATTTATTTATATTTTTAGAATGGATCACATGATACATAATATACAAATATAAAATATATAGATAAATTTAAAGATTACTCTTTAATTTTCATACGATTATTTATCTCGTAATCATGGTCGTAATCTGAAACCCAGGAATCTGTTTCTCTTTTTCTCTTGTTCCTCTCTTCTATTCCAGAAATTGTTTCTTTAAGAAAATAAATCTCTTCTTTTAACTTGACATTCTCTTCATAAACTTCTTTATTATTAGATTGTCGTTCCTTAAACTTAATATTATCTTCATAAACTTTTTTATTACTGGGTCTCTGTTGATGCTCTTCCCATTGAAATC